AGCACCCTGGAAGGAGGTGGGGGAGGGGGGGGAAGTCGGCCTCTGCTCCAGGTAGCAGCAATAGGACGAGAGGGATGGGCTTATGTTGCACCAGGGGAGGAGCAGGTTGGATATTAGGAAATATTTCTTCGCAGAATGGGTGGTGGGGCAGTGGCACAGCTGCCCAGGGGGTGTTTGGAACCGTGGGGATGTGGCCCCGTAGCAGGCAGGGTGGGATGGGGGCGGAGGTCCCCAAGGACCTTAATGGCTTTCCATGCCTAAAGACGGCGTGGTGCTCTGCGTGTCTTAGAGCTGAACGTGTCGTGTTGTTGAACCTGTGTGCCCTGCGCCTGTCTGGTTGTTAGAGGTGGGGATTTTTGGTGCTTTTTTTTCCAAAATGGTGTGAAGGGGGATGGAAAGAAGCCACAGAGGGGCAGATCCCGGTGCCGTGGGGCAGCCGGATGGGGACGCTGTGCGGGGTTAGCAGCGTCAGAGAGCCTGCTTTAGAAAGGAGTCCTGCTTACATTGCAGTGTCGTTGGGATGGCCAGAGCAGCGTGTGAGTGCTGTGTCTTAAAGGTAGCGAATAGGCGGCACTGGAGCGAGTTGAGCCTTAGGGCTGGCGCTGTACGCAGCGAGCAGCAGCGATGCCAAAGCCGGGCCCTTGCGAGGAGCCACGGAGCGGCCGCGAAGCCGTCCCAAAGCTGCCGGCCTGCGGGAGCCGCGCTGTGCCGCGCCGTGCCGTCCCCTCGGCGGCGCTGCGGGGGGAGCCGGGTTTCGCTTAGCGCGGCCGTTGGCTGTTGCGGTGTTGGCGTGCTGTTACAATGGACGGCTTCCCTTTTTGCGGCAGCGTTTTCGGGGAGCCGGGCTGCCGCTGCAACGCTTCCTGCCTGGAGAGCGGCTGGAAGCAGAGCGGGGTGTCCCGGCTCCCCCTGGGGACAGGGCGCTTCAGCGGGCGCTGAAAGGCTGTGCTGCCGCTAAGTGTGAGCGCAGGAGGTGGGGTCGGACTCTGCGGGGCGACGCACCGCTCCGGAACACCTGCGGTGGGGATTAGAAGCAATTAGTGTGTGTTAAGACTCCTTCATTAAGCAGAATGTGGCATAAAGTTGGTAGAATCAAAGCAGGGTCGGGGAGTCGATGGTTATGGAGGGAGCAGCGGCGCTCTGAGCGGGGGGAGAGGTTCCTGCGTTCCTGTGTTTGTAAGAGCCGTCGTTGAAGTGTTTGCAGGTAACTCCGAACAAAGGGCCGCTCTTATGAATTCAATGTAACCGGTTTGGGGTCAGGGGGTGCAGGACGGCCTGCACGAACCGGTCACGGCTTCACTTAGTAGCACCCGCGCTGCTACATTTCTCTGACGATGCCCTCGTGCGGGTTTGTCCCCCTCCAGGTGCCGAAGGCTGCCCGTGCTGCCCGGCTCACCGGGGCTCCCTGCTGCCGGAGTCGGACGCGCAGCTGTCCGGGAGGAGCCGAGGCCCCGTGCGGCGCTGCGGGGCTCCAGGTGGAACAGGAGGCCTCAGCGGGCTGCTGCTTCTCTCCCTGAGCAATGGCTCCTAACGAGTGAGATCCCAATTAACCCAGCCCGCTCCTAACGAGTGAGATCCCAATTAACCCAGCCCGCTCCTAACGAGTGAGATCCCAATTAACCCAGCCCGCTCCAACACACGGAGCGGCGGCAGGGCCCCTGCAGCCACCCCAGCGCTGCCGCTGCCCGGCGCTGTCATGGCAGAGGGAAGGGCAAAGGAGACTGCGAGGCTCCGGGGCAGCACCTCGGCACCCCGCTGTCCTTCCCACAGCTGGTGGCAGCGTTTGCCCCGAGCGGATTTTTTGGCCAAGCTTGTGCTAAAACCTTCCTGGAGCCCCACGGCAGCCCCACGCCATCTTCCCCGGAGCTGACGTTCGTTATGAAATAAACCTGCCCCCGTAGGTACCGAGCGGGCTGCCTCCTCTGCGAGATGCGTTCCATAGCGCCCATCCTGCCCTCGGTTACGCAACAGCCGCTCAGCCCCAGCGCTGCTTCACCCTTCGCCCTCCCCCCCAGCTCCCCGTTCTTCCCCCCCCCCCCCAGGTACAGCGCTGGGGACCGCCCCCCCCGCCCCCCTCGGCCTCCCCCGCCCCCCTCGGCCCCCCTCGGCCCCCCCGCCCCCCTCGGCCGCTGCCCAGCACTGCTGACACCACAACTTCTCTCTTTGCTGGAAGAGAACTTTCAAAGCCCCACTTATGGCACTGAGAGCGTTTCTGGGGGGCTCTGCTGCGACCTCACCCCCGAGGAGGAGGAGACAGGAGAACGAACCGAGCCTTTAGGTGAGCGAAGAAGCGTTAGAAAGGTGTCAGCTGTGCCCGTCGTACACAGCGCGGAGCCGTGCCCCCCTCTGTCGGCCCGGAGCCCACCGAGCACAGCAGCGCCAGAGGAGCCTCAGTGCGCGCAGAGCGGTGCTGAGCTCCGTGAGGAGCTCCGTTTCTCCGTGTCCAAAATGCGCCGAAAACGACTCAAACTGCATTCCCTCGTGGGAGAACACTTCGAACATTCCCCAGAAATCACACCGAAACTGTTACAGTTACAAGTAATTAAATTTATTAGACCTCTATAATTTTTTTTATAGTCAGTTTTGGCCAATTTACACTTTTTTTTCTTTTTTCTTTTTTTTTTTTTTTCCTTTTTGGTTTAAACACACACACACACGAGGAGGAGGAGGGGAAAAAAAAGAGCATCATCATGAGTTCACTTTGACAGCGACCCCTCCCCACCCGCCCCCAAAGGGGGAGGGCTGAGCGCCGCGTCCCGCAGCTCCGCTCCGAGGGTCGCTCACTCCGGAGCCGCCTCCGCCGCTCTCACGTCCCTCTCCCGCAGCAGCTGCAGGTTCTCCGCCCGCAGTCGGTCCACCTCCAGCTCCAGCAGCCGCGCCGCCTCCACCGCCTCGCCGTGCTTCTTGCTCTCCATCCTCAGGCGGTTGTTCTCGTCCTCCATGCGGGAGAGGCACTTCTCCAGCTCCAGGTACTCCTTCACCAGCTCCTGCTTGCTCATGTTCTGCAGGCTCTCCACGTGGTACCGCTCGTACGTCTCCGAGAAGTCCCTCTGCAGGAACTCGCTGCCGTCCCCCCCCATCCCATCGCTGCCGCCGTCCTCCTCGGCCGCCTCCTCCAGGAAGTCCTCCTCGCTCGTATCGTCCGATTTGGCGGCGGAGCGCCGCGGGTACAGCCCGGTTTTCAGGTCGGGCTCCTCCTGGTCGTGGTCCTCCATCAGGAACTGCGTGGTGTTGTAGGGGGCCACGGGCTGCCCCTTGGCGAACATCTCCGCGCGGAGCCGCGAGGCGCGCAGACTCTGCCGCTCGTCGAACTGCTGCTTCTCCTCCCAGCTCAGCTTCGAGTAGGGCTTCCAGCGCCGTTTGTTCTTCGACGGCCGACGGCGGTGCTTCTTCTTCGCGGGCCACTCCTGGGCGCGCCCCACGGCCGCGCGGTACCGCGGCCTCAGCCCGGGCTGCGCCGCGCCGCCCTCCGACGGCCGCGCCTCGTGGTCCCCCGCGCCCTCCGCCGCCGCCGCTGCCGCCGCCTCCTCGGGGGGCGGCAGCCGCCCGCTCTCCCCGTCGGTCTGCGCTTCGCCCCGTTCGGGGTCCGCGGCCGCCGCCTCCGGGGCGCGCTCGGCGTCGGCCATGGCTGCGCGCTCCGCTCCCTCGCGGACGGCCGCTACATCGGCCCCGTCCCCCCGGGCCGCGGGGTCACGGCCGCACAGGGGTTAACGCCGCCGGGCCCGCCCCCCCGCGCGCATGGCACGCGCCGCCGCCTCCTTCTTCTCCTCCTCCCTCCGCGCCGCACCCGCCCCGCCCCCCCGCGCCGCCACCGCCACCACCCGCCGCCGCCTCCCGACTGCCGCTCCCCACCCGCTCCGCCGCCTTATATAGCTGCGCGCGTCCCGCGCAGGCGCGCTGCGTGCCCCGCCCCGCAGCCAATCAGTGTGCGCGAGGGGAGGAGCGTATCGCTTAGATACGCCCCCTCGCCGTTCGGCCGGCCGAGTGCCGATTGGCGAAGCGGAACGTCGATCGCGCACTTGGGCCAGTAGCGGAGAGGGGGCGGGTCAGGACCGTACCGCTCGCGGAGGGGGGGCTCCAGGCGCGCGGCTCTGCGACCTTCAGCGCCGCTATGAGGGCAGCTCTCCGCCCCCCCCGCCCCTCTCTGGTACGACCCAAAAGAGTCCGCGCCGCGCGGAGGGGCACCGAGCGGTGCTTCAGTCTCGCCCACCCGAGACCGTTCCATGGAGCTCGCAGCGAGAGCGGGGGGAGTGAGGGAACAGAGCAGGGGGGCAAAGGGAGACAGAAGGGGGGGTTCGGGCGGAGGAATCACTGGACCGCAGCTCTGTGAAGAGGTTGAGGCCGCGCGGAGGGAGATGTAAACAAACCTGAGCGTAACGAGTCCCATCTTAAAGGCGCCGCGTCCCTTTTTTCGTGGGTAGTGCTGGGGGGTGGCAGCGGGAGCTCCTGGAGTGCGAGGAGCGGGCAATGGGCGCCCCGGGGCGGAGAGCCGCCGGTGGCGCGCGGGCTCCTGCCTCGCGCCCCTCAAGAGGTGGCGCCGGGTGCGGTGGGATCTCGCTGCAACCGATGGCATCGCGCTACGACGGTGTCACGTGCGGGGGAACCGAACCGAACCGAGGGGGCCGGCCGGCACCGGGCCCGGCCCCGTACGGGTTGTGCGGCCCGCAGCGCCCCGGTGTCGCAGGGACGGCACCGCCGGGTGGCAAAGGGACGGCGCGGTGGGGTATCCCGGTATCCCCACGGTGTCTTCCCCCCACACACAGCAGGGCAGCGCACACAGCCAGAACCGCACTGAAAAGGCAACTTTAATCGGGGGGGGAGCCGGGCTGAGTCCCGCCTGGCAGCGCCCTGACCCCGCTGCCGTCTGTGCCCCCGCGGGTCTCCCCGCCCCGAGCGGCACCTGGGACCCCGCGGCTGCTCCGCCCCGAGCTGGCGGCGGTGCGGGAGAAGCAGAACCGGGAACGGTGGCTGCTGCGCGGGGCGCCGGGAGGCCGCGACGGGGACGCGTCACCTCTTCCTGCCCCGCCAGCGCCGCAGCAGCCACTGGGTGACGAAGGGCCAGGCCACGAGGAACAGCAGGGTGTGCAGGGACGCGGGTAGCGGCCACGGGGACTCCGCCTGGAGAGGGACAGAGAGGTGTGGGAGAGCAGGGCGGCACCCAACGCCCCGAGCGCTGCCGTCCCTTTTGCGCCCATCGTCCTGCTAGGGTCTCACCGCATCGCTCCGCTGTTGTCAGGGACGGGGCACGGGGACAGAATTGCAGGGGGACGCGTTCCTCACACCTGTCCCTGCTGCCTGCCCCACGGCCACCTCCTGCTCTCCTGCTGAAGGACCCCTCCCCAGCCCGGTCACCGCCCCCAGCAGCACAGCCGAGGTCACAGAGCCGCCCGGACGTCGAGAACAGGCCGACAGGGACTGCGCAGCGCTGCCTCCCACCCCACTCACCTGCACGGCGAGCAGCTCTCCGGGATCGGCCCCAGGTGCGTCCTGCAACACAGGAGGGGTTTCGGACACCGCGTCCCCGTCATCGGGACCCGGGGCAATGGGAATCACGGGGGCAGCCCTCCCCGCTCGGCCCTGGGGCGGATTCGAGGGCGGCCCCACCTTGCCACGATTCGGCACCACCGCGGTCTGTCCCCACTCCGCCCCTGGCCCACCCCGAGCCGCCCGCCCGTGGGAGTGGTGCCACGTACCTTCGCGGAGGTGAGCAGCTCCAGCTCGCTCAGCCGCTCCAGCACGCGCTGCATGTCGTCCTGCAGGGCCCGCACGGTGCCGGCCACGTGGGCGTCCAGCTCCGGCAGCAGCTGCTGCTCCACGGCAGTGGGCTCGGCGGGGCTCCCCGCGTCCTCTTCTGCCCCGGTGAGCTGCAGATCTGCGGGACCAAAGAGAGGTGACGCTCAGACGCGCGGCACACAGACGGCACGCCGCTGGCAGCAGAGGGGCTCTCTGTCCCAGCGCTGCTGGACGAAGGATCTCCGCTCCTCAGCCCCAAACCTGCCCTGCCGCCTCCCGATAAGCCCGGCGGCCAGCAGACCGGCATGTGCTGCAACAGCGCGGCCGCTCCTCGGGCCCCCCGCGCCCGCCTTGATCGGCCTCGTTACAACTCCCAAGGTCAAGCAGCCCCGGAGGTTTGCAAACATCAGTGGGGAGCTGAGCGCGTCGCGGGCTGGGGAGGATGGCAGAACCCCAATGTCTGGCAGGATGGTTGCAGCCACCGGAGCCGTTCCTCACCGCATCCCTGCTGGGGTCCGCCAGGATGGCTGCGGCGGTTCTGTCCCATGTGTCAGCACCTCCAGGGTGCCCCCGAGGCCGGCCCCGCGGAGAGCTCCCAGCCCCCCCGTATCCAAGGGCGCCAAGCAGGCGCTGCCGGCAGGGCCGCACCGCGCTGCAGCTGAAGGATGCACAGCATTCAGCACAGCCCTGACACCGCGGGACAATAAAGGGGATCTGAGCCGGAGGGGAAGCACCGAGCCGTTCGGGAACCAAGGCGTGAAGAGGGCGGATGCGGGGATTCGCGGCTGCCGACCATCGGTGCTCACAGCCTCACCCCAAGCATCCCAGGCGGGCGGGGAGCAGCGGGAGCCGGGCTGCACCCACCTCTGTCAGAGCCCCGGGCCGCGAGGTCGGCACCGCCGCTCCCCTCCCGTCTTCTGCCTTCACCCCGCTCCGCCCGCCCAGCCACGCACCCGGCCGGGGCGCTCTTTGGGAGCCCCCGCTCAGCCAGCAGCTGCCCAGCCTGCGTGAGGGCGAAGAACGACCTGAGACCTCCGGGCCCCACCGCCAGCCCGCGAGGCCAGGGCTGAGCCGCAGCAGCTCCTGCCGTGCGCCCTCCTCCCCCCTGCCCTGCTGCAGCCCCGCAGCGCGGGAGCTCGGGGGTCTCGCAGCGCTCCCAGGAAAGCGGTGAGGAGCCCACGGCGGTGCAGCAGCGCCAGTGAGCAGAGGGGCTGCCGGGACCCAGCGCGCCTCCGGGCCGTCCTGCCCCGGGGGCCGTTACCTGCTCAGGCTCCATCTGCTCCATGGTATCGCAGAACACTTCCCCCTCAGAGTCGCTGGTGCCCTGGCTGCCCTGGCGCGTGTCAGCAGCAGGAGCCGGCCTTGCTCCTGCAAGGAAGCACAGGCAGCCCAGCGTGATGGGAGGCGGCTGCGGAGCCGCTGTGCGCGTGGGGCAAAAGCTGGGCACGGTCAGCAGGGCTGCGGGCAGCAAGAAGCAGAGGTGTGCGCAAAGCAAGGCCTAAATTCCTCAGTGGGAGGAGAAGCGCTCATTCCTGCCACTCAGGGCCACAAAGCGTCGCTCGCACCACGGGAAGGACGCTGCGGCACAGGGGGCAGAGGGTCAGATTCATCGTGGCTATAAATGCAGGGACCGCGTCCTGCTGCGCCAGGGCCCGGCTCATGAGCCGGCACAGAGCTCTGCGGGAACAGGGCCACATCCCGCAGGGACCGGCAGCTCCCGCCCCACGCATCCCACTGGACACAGCCCTCACTGCGCGCCCCGCTCGGCTCCCTCAGGCACAGGCCGGGCGCAGACCGGCGCTGCTCCGTGACCACAGGTGCTGCCGGTGGGCGGGCAGCCCGGCTGCCTCGCAGCACACAGCTGACAGCAGGGGCCGCTCCGTGCCGGCACACCGAGCCTGCTCCCCCAGCACTGCGTGCGCCAGGGGCCGCGCGACCCAGGGCCGGGGCTCAGCACGGCGGCTCCCGCCCCGTGGGCTGGGCACACCTGGCTGGAGCCGAGGTACTTCCACTATGGAACACACACCTCCCAGGGCACTCTGCCCATCTGTGCCTTGCTCTGTCCTCACAATTAGGCCTCCGCGCACAGCCACGAGCAACACAGTCGCCCAACACGCTCAGGGTTACGCCGGGGGTCAGCAGCTGCCCCACAAGAAGCCCCGGCCCTGCATGACACGCAGGCGGGGTTGGACCAGACGTGCCTGAAGCCAACAGCTCTGCGTTGGGACGGAGGCCCGGCCCGGCCCCGTCGCCACTGCCTCCTCCGTGGGGTCTCTGCCGGCTGTTGGCCACTCCGGGGAGACCAACCTGGCGTCTGCTGCCCGTCCTGCTGCTCTCTGGGCAGTGCATCCTCCGGCCGCTCCGGGGCCGGGCCGTTCACTCGCTCCTCCTGGCCGTGCTCGGCCGGCTGCTCCTGCTCATCTGCAGGGAGAGAAAGGGAGCAGAGTTAAAGTGCTGCGGATCTTTGCGGGGCTGCCCGCCCTCTGTGTGGATGTGGGGCACCCCGCGCCCCCACGGGGTGACGCGCAGCCATGCAGCGTTTCTAACAGGCAGGACTTTGCTCCCCGCTCCTGGGCAGGCAGCGATGTGGCAATGCTGCCCTGCACCTTGCCATGGCACCACCAGCTCCAACCCACCCAGCACAGCCTCCAAAATCGCCTCACCTGGATTATCATTAACAACAGCTGCAACAACAACAACAACAACAAAAAAAAGGCTCACGGTGAGCCTAAGAACCTTTAGCACAAATAACTCAACAGCTTAAGAAGTTGGTTTTAAACCACATTTCAGGCACCCGGTGTTTATCTGCCTCGCAGGCAGTGTGAGGTTTGGATTTCAACGAGACTGTCTGAGCGACAGCAGTGCAGGAGGACACCCACAAGTGGGTAAGGATGGGGAGTTCGGACCCGGCTTCCACGTCACAGAGAAAAACAGAGAATATTTATGTGCTATTCAGTAAAAAGAACAAAAGCACCTGCAGGGAAGCAGCCATTGTGAGGCCAAGCCATGCAGGAATACACCCTATCAACATGTTTTGGGTGTCTTTGTGGATGCAGGGGGACAGAGGGGGCAGCGAGTCTGTCTGTCAGAGCTCTTCTAACATCAGCATTACACTGCCAGTTTACACCTGCTGCCAGCACAGCCCAAAGCTCACCTGCTGCAGAGCGAATGGAGGCAGCACCCAGCAGCCTCACGCACGGTTTTTTTTCCCCGCACAAGACCGCCCCAGCACCTCCCCACCCCCACAGCCCCTTCCCAGCCCCGTGTTTACATCAGGTGAGCGCAGCCTGGCGCCGTGCCTTGCGGGAGGGGCAGAGCCCGGCTGCCACGGCCATGTAGGGCTGCGCGCGGGGCTCTCGGAAGCCAAGCTCAGCTCTTCTCCTCCGAGCCGAGAGGAGGCTGGAGGGCAGCGCCCTCGCCAGGGAGGCGAGGCTCGGAGCCGGCGGCGCAGCCGCACTCACCGCCCGGCCGTCGGAAGAAGCCCTCCGGGGGCCGCGGCATGTCGCGGATCACCTCGTAGAGCGGCTCGAAGTAGCGGAACATCTCCTGCGTCGTCTCGTCCGGGCGCAGCGTGGCGATGATCTGCGGCGGCGGGCAGAGCCGTGCTGAGGGCCGGCCCGGCGGGCGGCGCCGCCCGGAGCCCCGCGGCAGCCGTTACCTTCTGGGCCACCTTCTTCATCTCGGCCACGTACGCGGCCATGGCCTCCTCCCGGCTCATCCGGCCCAGGCTGTGCCACGCGTCCCTGCGGGGCGGACGGCGCTGAGCCGGGGCCGAGCCGACCCCGCGGCGCCCGATGCGGGGCTCGGCGCTCCGTACCACTTGTAGCGGCCGATGGGGTCCCAGAAGCCGGGCCGGGGCTCCTGGCAGCGGCCCGCCGTCGCCTGCTTGTAGTAGCTGTAGAAGCGCAGCATCTCCTCGTAGGAAGGCCGGTACGAACCTGCAGCACCGCAACGTCGTCAGCGCGGCCCGCAGCGGCCCCTGCCCCGCTCCCGCCCGCACTCACCGCTCCGGGGCAGCCCCTGGATGACGCGCACGGCCGCCTGGAACTGAGCCCCGCAGCCCGGCTCCGCCATGGCCCCGCTCCGCCGGCCCCGCCGCTCGGCTCTCCGTGAGGGGAAAGCGCGCAGCCAATCAGCGCGAGGCTTCCGTCTGCGCCGCCGTGCCGCGCCCAATCGGCGCGCCGCTTGCGAAAAGGGCCGCGCTGTCCCGCCTCCTCCGAGCCAATAGCGGCGTAGCGCGGGAGCCCCCTGCTGGAGGCGGAGCGCACTGCAGCCAATGGGAGAGCGGAGAACGCGCGCTGTGGCGCCCCCTGCCGGCCGCGGGGAGAAACAGCGTGGGGCGGGGCGGGAGGGGACCGAGTGCAGGGACAGAAAGGGGGGACACGGATTTGGGGACAGGGAATAGGGACGGTATTGGGGACAGGGAGCGGGGGTAGGACGTGGGGACAGTGTATAGGGACGGAACGGGGACAGTGTGATGGGGTAGGGCATGGGGACAGAGTATTGGGACAGAGTATTGGGACAGGGAGTGCAGGCAGGGATTGGGGGACAGGGAGTGGGGATAGGACGTGGGGACAGAGTATAGGGACGATATGGGGACAGGGAGTGGGACGGTGTGATGGGGTAGGATATGGGGACAGAATAAAGGGACGGAGCATGGGGATGGGAACAGGGAGTGGGGACGGTGTAAAGGGACAGGGCACGGGGACAGGGCAGAATAAGAGGACGGGGCACGGGGTGGGGACATTACAGGGACATTACAGGGACATTATAGGGACATTATAGGGACAAGGCGCTGTGGCATCGCCCCCCGCCTCGCGCCGCCCCTGCATTCCTTCCCCGTGCGTCATCTGGCGGGGGGGGGGGGGGGGGGGGATCTGCTCTCACGCAGCGCTGTTTGTTCACCCCGAGACGGTGCGGGATGGGGGGGTGCGGCTGCACGGCCGTGCATGCAAACACACGTACACGCATGTATGTGCACGCACACACGTGCATATGGCCGCACACGCACATGTATGTGCATGCAACCCACCTTCCCTCCCCCCCCCCCCCGATCCAAAATCTCCACTGCAAACCCAGCCCCCGGGCTCCATGCCGGCTCCTCCCGGTTCCGCCCCCCTCCTCCCCCGCACGGCCCCGCACGGCCCCGGGAGCGCCGTACGATGATCTGCGGGCGGAGGGCGCGGCCCCGCCCCGAGCAGAGCGGGGGGGTCTTGAAGAAGTTGGGTGAGTGCGGGGCAAAGTGGTCGGGGGTCTCAAAGATGGGGGAGTCTCCTTGATTGGGGGTCTTCGTGGTCAGCAGTGTCCCCCATGGTCGGCATCCGCGTAGCTGGGGGTCCGTGTGGTTGGGGGGTCCAAAGGTTGGAGGGGTTCCGTGTGATCGGGGGTCCCCATGGTCAGGGGTCTCTTTGGTTGGAGTTCCCCATGGTTCGGGGCCCCCACGGTTGGGGGTCATCGTGGTCAGGGGAGTTTCTATGGTTGGGCATCCATCGGTTGGAGGTCTCCGTTCATGGAGTTCCTCACAGTTGGGGTCCCCATGGTAAGGAGTGTCCCCCATGGTCAGGGTCCCCCCAGTCAAGAGTCCGTGTGGTTGGGGGGTCCAACAGTTGGAGGGGTTCCCCATGGTCAGGGGTCCCCATGGTTGGAGTTCCCCACGGTTGGGGGTCATTGAGGTCAGGGGTGTCACTATGGTTTGGAGTCCAGTGATTGGTGGTCTCTGTGGTTGGAGTCCCTGTGGTTTGGGGGTCTCCATGGTCAGGGGTGTTACCCATTGTCGGGGTCCTCATAGTTGGGAGTCCACCTGGTCAGGGGTTTCCATGGTTGGGACCCAGTAATTGAGGGTCATCATCGTAAGGGTCCTCGTGGTTGGGAGTCCCCATAGTCATGGGGATGAGGGTCCATCATGGTCAGCGATCCCCATGGTTGGGGGTTCCAATGGTCAGGGATTCCCATGCATGGAGTTTCCCCATAGTCGAGGGGATCCCTATGATTTTGGGCCTAACGGTTGGAGGTCTCCATGGCTGGAGTTCCCCATGATTGGACATCCCCATGGTCAGGGGTCCCAATGGTCAGAAGCCCCCATAGTTGGAGTTTCTTTGTGGTTGGAGTTCCCTCTAGTCAAGGGGGTCCCCATGGTCAGGGGTCTCCACAGTCATGGGTTCCTATAGTTGGGGAGTCTGATCTCCGTGGTCAGAGATCCCCATGGTTGGAGTTCCCCATGATTGAGGGTCCCCATGGTTAGGGGTGTCCCTATGGCCAGGGGTACCCATGGTCGCAGGTCCAGTGTTTGGTCCCCATGGTTGGGAACAGCCATTTCCCACCGCAAGAGCAGCGCATGGCTGCTGGGGCTGTTCTCAAGGGGTGCTTCCAAAAAACAAATAAAAAGGAGGAAATGATTTCATGGAGAATGGACGGAAATGTCCCGTCAGAGCGGGTGTGTGGCCAGCCTGGGGATAGGGTTGGGGCTGTGCAGGGCGGGTGGCAGCCCCGCTCCTGGTGCTCCCACACTGGATTGCAGCAGCTTTGTTGGCATTGCACAGCTCTGGCCAAGAGTTCTGCAGTGTGAGCACAGCTCTGTGTCCACTGCTTGGCTGTGTCCCATCCCTTCCGGCTGCACAGTGTGAGAGGAGCTGACTGCAGTGGCCATCCCATCCCATCCCATCCCATCCCATCCCATCCCATCCCATCCCATCCCATCCCATCCCATGATATCTGTCCCGTCCCATGTCATCTGTCCTGTCCTGTCTATGCCATCTCATAGTGTCTGCCCCACCCCACCCTACTCCATCCCACCCTACCCTACCCCATCCCCTCTGCCCCATCCCATCCTGACTGTCCTGTCCCATTTCACCCTGTCCTGACTGTCCTATCCCATCGTATCTCTCCCACCCTATCTGACCCGTCTTGTCATGTCTGTCCTATCCCATCCCATTGCATTTTGTCTGTTCCATCCTGTCCCATCATGTCTCTCTCATCCCATCCCCATCCCACCCCCATCCCACTCCCATCCCATTCCACCCCATCCTGTCTGTCCCATCCCCATCAGTGCCCCATACCCCACCCCACCTCACCCTGCCTCAACCCACCCAACCCCATCCCATCCCATCCCATCCCATCCCATCCCATCCCATCCCATCCCATCCCATCCCATCCCATCCCATCCCATCCCATCCCATCCCATCTCATCCTCATTTCCCTTTTTACCCCATCCCACCCCATGCCATCCCCACCCCACTCAATTCCATCCCATCCCACCTGTCCCATCCCACATAACCCTGTCCCCTCCTGTCCCCCTGCAGGTCTGTCAGAGGATGAGGACCTCCAGCTGATGCTGCAGGGCTCCCTGCTGCTCAAGGTGACCCCACGGCGGGCGAAGGAGCGGCGGTACCGCCTGCAGGAGGATGGGGTCACCGTGGTGTCTGAGCGGCGCTTCGGCCGCATGGCCTCCAAACACAGCTGTGAGTGCTGGCACTGGGGCTGGGGGCACTGGTGTGGGTTTGGCATGGCCCCCAGTGTGGCCGGGTGGGTTAATCCTAACCCTAACCCTAACCCAGACCCCTTATGGGACCCCGACTCCAACCTTAGACCCCTCTTGGTGATGCCCTATGGTCCCCATCTGAAAACAGGCTTTGCCCCCCAGCCGTGGACCAGTGCCTCCCAGTGCATCCCGTGGCATTCTATTTTATTCCATTGCCTTCCTGCACTCTGTGTATCCTATTGCCTCCCAGTGCATCCCAGTGTACCCCCTTGCATCCTGGTACATCTCAGTGCCTTCCACTGCATCCAGTGCATTCCATCACCTCTCCGTGCATCCAGTACCTCCCATGGCCTTCCAGTGCCTCCCAGCATATCCCATTGCATCCTGTTCTATCCCATTGCATCCCATTGCATCCCAGTGCCTCCCAGCATATCCCATTGCATCCTGTTCTATCCCATTGCATCCCATTGCATCCCAGAGCCTCCCAGCGTATCCCATTGCATCCTGTTCTATCCCATTGCATCCCATTGCATCCCAGAGCCTCCCAGTGTATCCCATTGCATCCCAATACCTTCAGTGCACCTCACTGTATCCCACTGGATCCCATTGTCTCCCAGGGTATCCCATTGCATTCCTGTGTATCCCAGTGCTTCCCTGCGTGTGTCCCATTACAGGACAGAGCCTCCCATTGCATCCCATTGCATCCTGTTGGATCCCATTGCATCCCAGTTCCTCCCAATGCATCCCATTGTATCCCCGTGACTCCCATTGCATCCCCTTGCATTCCATTGCATCCCAGTGCCTCCAAGCATATCCCTTCGGATCCCATTGCCTCCTATTGCATCTCATTGCATCCCCATGACTCCCAATGGTTCCAATTGCATCCCAGTGCCTCACAATGCATCCCATTGCATCCCAGTGCATATCATTGTGTCCCAATGTATCCCAGTCTATACCATTGCATCCCAGTACATCCCAGTATATCCCACTGCATCCCACTGTATCCCAGTGCCTTCAATGTATCCCACTGCATCCCAGTTCCTTCTATTGCATCCCACTGCATCCCAGTGCCTCTCAGTATATCCCATTGCATCCCAGTGCATCCCATTCTTTTCCATTGCATCCCAGTGTATCCCATTGCCTCCCATTGCATCCCAGTCCCTTCAGTGTATCCCACTGCATCCCATTGCATCCCATTACATCCGATTGCATCCCAGTGCCTCCCAACATATCCGATTGCATCCCAGTGCCTCCCCGTCTATCCCATTCTATCCCATTGCATCCCAGTGCCTTCCAGTGGATCCCAAAGGATCCCAGCGCCTCCCAGTGTATCCCATTGCATCCCAGCATAACCCGTTGCATCCCATTGTGTCTCTTTTCCTCCCATTACATCTCAGTGCATCCCGTTTCCTCCCATTGCCTCCCACTGTATCCCATTGCATCGCAATGCCTCCCTATATACCTCATTGCATCCCAGCTCCTGCCATTGCATCCCAGTACTTTCCAGTGCCTTCCAGTGCCTCTCAGGGTATCCCATTGCCTCCCGTTTCCTCTCCGTCTTGCCTGGAATTCACGTCTTCGGCGCAGCCCAAGGGGACATCGGTTGGCTCTGCTGTCCCCGCGTGGTGCTCATTGGAACCATCCCTCTGTGTCCCCGCAGTCTCCGTTGCACACATTGTGTCAGTGCACCGGGGGCACCATTCGGAGGGGCTGCGCCGGTACGGCTGTGCCATCCCTGAGTGGAACTGCTTCACCATCG